AAGCAATCATCATCCAAATAAGCATATTTGAGAGAAGGAGGGAGGGGTTTTAGTTCTACCTTGGGAGGAGGCGTGGAACTCTCCTCCTTAGACTCACTTTGGATCGATGGGAGCTCATCCACGGCTCCTTGAGTCTCGGGATGAGTTTCACCTTCAAGGCTTTCAACCTCCAAGGCACACAAAGATTCTCCTTCACCCACCTCCTCACATGGGAGGTCTTCATCACCCTTGTCTTTAATTACCTCATGAGACTTCACCAATTCATCAAGTTCGGAGTCCACCAAGTCCACCCGCCAAATCTTCTCTACCATAGGTTGCTTCAAAGTCTTTGAGAATTCAAACTTGTACTTCTCATTGGCCACCTCACATGTAATGGTATTATCTTTGCAATTGACGACCGCTCCCATGGTCTTGAGTGCCTCTCTTCCAAGGATAAGAGGAGTATGAGGGTCCTCCTCCATATCCATCACCACAAAATCGCAAGGCACAAACAAATTCCCAATCTTGATAGGAACGTCTTCTAACTCACCGCATGGGAATTTTGTGGACCGGTCGGCTAATTGAATCACCTTTCTTGAAGGTATCATCTCGAACTTGAGCTTCTTTGCAATGGATAGTGGCATGAGGCTCACACTTGCCCCAAGATCGGCTAGTGCACCCGTGGTCTCCATATCACCAATCTTGACCGGAAGAGTGAAGCTTCCCGGATCACATTGCTTGGTAGGCAAGGTTCTTTGCACTAGGGCACTAACTTGATGAGGAAGAGTGATACACTCATCACTTAGCTTCTTTTTGTTGGAGAGGAGTTCCTTGAGGAATTTTGCATAGGGTGGCATTTGAGTCATGGCTTCAAGGAATGGAATGTTGATGTGAAGTGACTTGAGCATAGCCATAAACTTGTTGTACTTGTCATTCAATCTCCTCTCAACAATCCTCTCGGGATAAGGCGGTGGTGGTTCAAACCTTGATGGTTGATAAGATGTTGATGGTTGCTTGTCTTTCCCAACTTCCTTGCTCTTTTCACTACCTTCACCCTTCTTCTTCTCAATGCTTCCTTCAACACTATTGTCAATTATTTGACCTTGGCTATCTCCATTGACCTCTTCAACCACTTGCTCTTCACCCTCCTTGTTGTGCTCCGATTGATCACTCCTAGGCCCCTCATAAGACTTTCCGGACCTAAGAGAGATAGCTTTGATATGATGGGTGGTAGCCGGGTTGGTAGTAGATTGGCCCGGGAGCTTCTCATTGGCTAGATTGGTCACCCTCTCGGCGAGTTGAGCCACTTGATTATCCATCATCTTTTGATGTGCGGTGACCTCTTGATGCCTTTGATCCGCTTTTCGCTCACTATTGGTTATTCTTTGATCCATGGCGGATAGGCTTGATTGGATTCTATTGAGAGTTTCCATGAGCATTTGTTGATTAGGATCATTTTGCATGGAAGGGTTGGGTTGGAAATTCTGAAATTGGTTGGGTGGTCCTTGCTTGAATGGTGCTCTAGGGTGATTGCTAGCATTTGGATTTGGAAAGGGAGCCATTTGACCCGTGTTGTGGCTTGGGCCACTTGCATCTTGAAATCTATTACCATAATTGGCATTGGGGGCTCTCCAATTATCACGTTGATTGTTCATGTACCCCATTGCCGCTACATGTTCGGGGTCTCGACCACCACAATATGATATATCATGGTTGGTACCCCCACAATTCTCACAAGAGAAAGAGTGTACTTGATTGGTGGAGGAAGATGAAGACCCTTGGCTATTTCCCAGCTTCTTGTCAATGACTTGTTCCATAAGAGCCTTGAGTGAACCTTGATCAAGCTCGAATTTGCCCGAAGCTCTCTCTTCACCTCTTCTTCTTCCACCACTCGTAGAATAGTACCTCACAACTTCCTCTATGGTGTCCTCCAATTGAGCTTGAGGCACCTTGCTAATATGTCCACCACATCCGGAATTCAAATTTTGCTTGGGTATGTCGTCAAGACCATCAAAGAAGAACTTGATGAGAAGTTGCTTGTCAAACTCATGGTGTGGGCAAGCTCTCACATACTCTTTAAACCGGTCCCAAGCTTCCCCCAAAGATTCATACCTTTCTTGCCTAAATGATGAAATTTTCTGCCTCAATTCGGTTGATTTGTCTTCGGGAATGAACTTGTTCAAGAAAGCTTTGGCCGTGTCTCTCCATGAGGCCAACGAGCCGGGCTTTAGGTTTTTGAGCCACCTATAAGCCTTGCCTGTGAGCGAATACCGAAAAAGGTGCATCCGGATGTATTCTTGAGTGACTTGGTTGGTTTGGAGTAAAGCACATGTCTCGAGAAATTTGTCCAAATGCTCTATCGGATCTTCATGAGCTGCTCCAGAAAATTGATCTCCACGCACCATTTGAGTGTAGTGCGGGTGGATAGTGAAATTTGTTCCCGTTGTAGGAAGTAGAATCCCACATTGCAATTCATGACTACCCGGATTACCAAAGTCACCAAAAAGAGCGCCATTGGCATCCCCCATGTCTGAAGAAATATCACTAGAAGAATCAAAGAACTCCTCCTCCTCACCCGTTTGTTCAACAAATAGTCTCCTCACTCGCCTTAGAGTGCGCTCAATGTCGAGATCGAGGTCGTGAGTAGGTGGTCCCTGTGATCTTCTAAGCATTCAACACAGCTAAGCAGACAATTAGCGAATGACAACAACGGAGAAATAAATGAAAAATAGAAGGATAGAAGTAGAAAACAATTGAAAAACAAGATAACTAAGCAATAAACAATGTTGCCGTTCCCCGGCAACGGCGCCAAAACTTGATCGGCCCCCTAGGTGTCGTTAGTTCCTAAAGGTCGAGTCAAGAATAAAAAGAAAACCCACGTCCTAAACTAACCAAAGGTAGCATAGTGGAAGAGGGGTCGAATCCTCAGGGAAGGTCAAACGTCTCTTGCTTAGATCACTTATAAGTCAATTGAAAAGGGAGGAATAAATTTTTGATGGATTTATCTATAGCTACTAGGGAAACAAATAAACTAAGAACTAAATTAACAAGCAACAAGCAGAGGTATAAAACTTCGAAAATCAAGGAATAGCAAACACTAGGGGATAGGGGAGAATTCCTAACTAACAATGATTTCAACAATTATAGGCAACAAGAATGGTTCAATCGGTCAACCAAACAATTGGGGCCTATGGTCCAACATCTAGGATTCCCTCTCGGGCTCACCTAAACACCGCCTACCCAACCCCGCCTCGGTGGTCGAGGTCATCCCTAACCTAGTCATCATCACATACAAGCTCACTCTCGCGCAACTAGCATGCAACACAAAATAGGGTCTTAGAGGTGATCAATCTCTAATTCCTAACAACTAAAACCTAGGTTGGAATCAATTGCAAAACTTCTCAATCTACCCAATCTTGCACCACATATCATTCATTTCATCATTAGTTCATCATTTCCCCCTCCCCTAGCTAGAAACCTAGCCTAGAGAAGGAAGGGTCATACCAAAGCACACAAGAACATTAACAAAAGCAAAAACTAAGTTTAATGAGAGAAACATGGCTAAAACCAGAAAATAGGATGATTAAACTTTACTAAAGAAGTTAACTTTGAAGAGAATATGTTAAGTCTACTTGTAATCTATTCTAAATAGCATGAAATCTAAGCAAATAAGGATAATATTATACTAATAGCAAGAAAATAAAGGATCAAAACCAGAAATTGCAAGTTTAAACAAGGAGGCAACTAAGATATTAAACTATTCTATTGACTTGAAATAACAACTAAAGATAAGCTAAAACTAATTAAAATAGATAAATAAAGCAATAAATAAAGAGTAGGGATAGAAATAATACCAAAAGATTTAATCTTGGATTGAAAATGAAAGAGAGTAACAAAGAGTAGTGTTTTTGATCTAATGAGGAACTAAACCCTAACTAATCTAAAGTGCAAAAGAAAGAAAGAAAAACAATAAGCTGAAATCTGATTTTCTAATATTTCTCTCTCTACATACCTCCCTCCTCCCAATTACAAGGAAGAGAGGTATTTATACCCTCCTCTAAAACCTAACCCAAATCAAGGCCCAAAATTTTAGGCATCACGTGCAGAGTAAAATAATTAGAGCCGTCGGCCTACGCGTGTAGCAGAGTTCAAATCGGTCAGGGGAACACGGAGCGCCCGCTCTAAGGCCAGAGCGCCCGCTCTGAAGTCTCGCAGAAAATGCTCTGATTATTCTGGGAGCTAGAGCGCCCGCTTCAACATTAGAGCGCCCGCTCTGAGGGTTGGGTACTTGGTTTTTCTGCAGCAAGGAATACAGAGCGCCCGCTCCATATCTAGAGCGCCCACTCTGAACTCTTCTTTCCTTCATATTTTGGGCTCTAATGCTCCAATTCCTTTGACTCCAAAGCATGCCTAATCCTTGCATCCAATCCTTGCTTTCTTAGCCACGGTAGGACCTGTAAGATGGAAAACACAAATCATAGGAAAGGTTCTAATAGGAGCAAATTGAAATGGGTTAAAGGAGAGGGAATAAAACCTTAGGAAATGAGCCAAAAATGACTCAAAACCACTCCAAGTAACAAATATGCTCAATAATAACAAAACTAAGCTAAAATAGAGGAAAAAGGACAAACAAAGGGCTCAATCGGGGAAGAAACGAAGTAGAAAAGTGGGCCAAATGGCCACTGATCAATAACCAAGGTGGTGGTTATAGGAACCAAGGGAACTATAACAATCAAGGTTATAGTGGCCAAAATCAAAACCAAAATTATGGTAATCAAAACTAAGGTTATGGAAATCATAATCAAGGTGGTGGTAACCATAATCAAGGTTATGGTCAAAATCAAAATAGGGGTAATTGGAACAATCAAGGGAGAGGCAATTTTCAAGGAAATGCTCAAAGAGGCCCTCCACCCGGATTAGCTCCAAAGACTCAAGTTGATAATTCCTATTCTCAATCCTCTTCTTCTAGGACTAATTTGGAGAAAATCATTGAAAATCAAACAAAGTTGTTGAGCACTTACATGGCCGTAAGTGACAAGAAATGCAATGAAGTGATGACTCATAATAAGATGCTTGAAAACCAAATTTCTCACCTTGCTAATGCTTTGAAATACCATGCTAGTCCTTATTCTTTACCTTCCCAAGGCTTAGATCCCAAGAGACCCGTGAATGCTATTGTTACAAGGAGTGGTAAGGTTCTTGAGGATAATTTGCCTAGGAAGAGTGGAATTATGGAGAGTTCTAAGGAGGTCTTGGTAGAGGATGAGAGAAATGGTGCATCTTTAAGTGAGGTTGTGATTAAGACACCTAGAGAGGTGAGATTGGAGATAGAGATTGTGAAACCCAAGCTTCCATATCCATAAAAATTCATGAGACATAAGTTGGATGAACAATTTGGAAGATTTATTGACATGCTAAAGCAACTTCATCTTTCTCTACCTTTTACAAAAGTTGTTACCCAAATGCCCAACTATGAAAAATTCCTCAATGACATTTTGAGTAGTAGGAGGTCTTGTGATGTGGTGGAGACATTCAACTTGATTGAGAATTGTAGTGCAATCATAATGAACAAGATGCCACCCAAGTTAAAAGATCTTGGAAACTTCTCTATCCCTTGTGCCATTTACAAGATGCAAATTGATAATGCCTTATGTGACTTAGGAGCTAGTGTTAGCTTAATGCCATATTCAATTTATCAAAGACTTGAGTTAGGAGAACTTATGCCTTCTAAGATTACCTTGCAATTGGCCGGTAGGTCAATTAAGATTTCCATGGGGAAGGTTGAGGATGTTCCTTTGAGAGTAGGAAAGTTTGTAATTTCGGTAGATTTTGTGGTGCTTGAAATGGATGAAGATGCTACTATTCCCATTATTATTGGTAGACCTTTTCTTGCTGCCTCGGGTGCTATGATTTATGTTAAGAGTGCAAAGATTTCACTAAAGGTAGGATAAGAGGTTATTGAATTTGATTTGAATGAAAGCATGTAATATCCATGTTCATCTTTATAAAATTGCATGTTGATCGATTCTCTTGATCTTGTTGTATCTTCCATAAATGAGCATTTGCTCACTTCTAACGATCCTCTTGAGAATATCTTGTTGAATAAGGGTAAGATATGTGCTCCTATCAAGGAAGTGAAAATGTATGAGGGTTTTCTTAATGGAGGCATTGAGGAAGTGGATGAGCACATATGTATGAATATTTCGAGCCAAGAAGCTTTGCAAGTCGCCACTTCAAAGGAAATAGAAGGTGTATCAATGGTTGTTGTCAAACCTTTTCCATCACACTTTAGCATCAAGGGATCAAGTTGGAGCGGTCCCGATTCGGTCAAGAGTGGTTTTCCAAATGTCTTTGTGGAAGTCTCAATGAAAGATTTTCTTTCTCTGTTCAAAGCTAAAGGCAATCGTCTAATGAAGTATTTCGACGATGCTTTTGTTAGTTTGGTGGACTCATTGTTTCTTCGCCAACCACCTTAATTGGTGGAGTACGTCGAGCTACCGACGTTAACCAAAAGTGCTACCCGGGAGGCAACCCGGTTTTCTAACCTTTTTCTTCGATCTAATATTTTCCTTTATTTCCTCCTTTGATAACTTTTCTTATTTCTTTCTATTTTGGTTTGTTCTTTTGATCTTAGGTACCATGGGATTTGAATCGGAGAAAATTTCCAACAATTTGGGTGCTACTTCAAGATTTCATGAGGTTTGGTTATGCTTAGAGGAATGGGGTCGTTGAGGTTATATGTTCTCATGTTTGCATTCCCATCGATTTTTATTCATGTTCAAACATATTTTAGATTCTTTCTTATAAAATTTTTGAGTCCTTGATTATGACATTTTGTAGGGACAATGAGAATGCAAACACGAAAGCATTTTTAAGGGGTATTTCTCTTTTTAGTGCCATCTCGAGATGTGTGGGGTGCGCACGCATCACGAAGATCATCTGCGGGCGCGGGCATTTTTTTCGCGGGCGCGGGTACCTGTGCACCAAAAATTTCAAAATCTGACCAGGAACTTCCTGTGGGCAGGCCGCGGGCTACTAGCGGGAATGGGCATCTACCCGCGGGCGCGACAATATCAGGAGCGGGCGTGACACTTGCTGGAAGCCCCTATAACCTTAAAACGCACCCTCTCTTTCAACTCTTTCATTTTTTCCCTCCTAAAACCCTATACCCTCTCTTGCAATATCAAGCATACTTCACCTCCTTTGCTATCATTTCAACATCAATTACAATTGCCAAAATCAAGTTTTTCAATTTACAACACAAAACAAATTTTTTAGAATTCTTTCCCTAATTCAAGGAAGAAAAAAAATTGGGTCTTTTTCATAATTTTGAAATTTTGTGTTGAGGTTTAGAGCTTGTTTTTGGGAGTTTTATTTGTTCTTACATCTTCAGTTTGAATATTTTTAAGAATTTCAAGGCTTCATTGAGGTATGGTTTATCATTGTCTATTCATCATCTTCCTCTTTGATTTAAGCTTAAACCATAATGCTTTCATGGTGAAACTTTATGGTTAGTACTTTTCACTTGGAATTTGTGTTGAATAATATTGATGGATGTTGAATTGAAGTTTCCTCATGATAAATGTGTGAACTTTGATTGAATTCTTGAATAATAATTGTTGGCTATTTTCTCTCTCATGGGTTTTCTTTATATTAGTTTCTTATCTTTGATAATTCAATGATTGGGATATATTTTTCAAATTGACTCATGATTTTGTTTCTTATGTTCAAGTTTGCCTTCAATCCATGTTTATTTGCTGAATATACATGATGTTATCAATGGCATTGTTTATTTGTTACCATTTCTTGCTTCTATTGTGAAATATTTCCATTTTGTGCTTGTTGTTGAACAACTACTTATGCTTAGTCTTGATACTTTGTAGATGGCCACACTTCGTCATAAGAAGCGTGCTAGAGCTAGTTCAAGCAAGCCGAGGTATATTGCTCCGCCTCCACCGGAGGTTGAGGAAATTTATGGCATTGAGTTTTAAAAGGAATCTAATTGCGAGTGCTTCAAACGTCTTTCAAAGAGAAATCTTAGGCCAACGCATTTCTACGATTAGACAACAACAAAGTTTCTAGGGATTGACGAGGATGTTCGCCTCTTTGCGGAAGGCCTTGATCTTTTGGACTTCTTAGATTTGAATGCCCCTACTTATTCTAGGGTGACTTATGACTTCCTTTATTCTCTCGAGGTTGTCCATGAGCCGGGTGTAAATTTTCAAAGATTTTGACTTTCCAACTCTTCAACTATGATCACTCTTTGACGGATGCTCAACTATGTTCATACTTCAAGTTTACTTGGGCCAAGGACCCGGATCATTGTATTTCTCTAGCTCATAGTAGAATGACAAGTGAGCATGGATATGATGAGCAACATTGGTGGAGAAGTATCTCGGAAGAAGGAAAGTATGACCCTCAAACTTCAAAGTCCGCTTCCATGATTCATCCGACTATGTGATATTTCAACCGAATCCTCACATACGCTCTTTTCTCCAAGGACTCTTTGGGAGCTATTTCCCGTGAGGAGCTTTGTTGGTTGTGGATAGCCGACTAAAATGACTTTGAGATTGAATCAGTGGATTTCACGGAGCGTTTGATCTCCAGATTCTTGGATATCCGTGATGGAGTTTGCCTTTCAGGATACATCCAATTGGGTGGGATGATTTCTATTCTAGCCCTTTGCATCAATGAGAATTACAAGGCTATGCTAGACGAGCTACCATAGATTATTGATCCTAGAGAAAAGTCCCCCTCGCATTTCTTAAACATCTTCGCACTAGTGAATAAAATATTTCTTGATAGAATGAGGAAGGACGATTTTTTTATTTGGAAGGTCTCCCGGTATAAGGAATGGCTAGTCACCCCTTGAAAAGAGGCAACATCTCGTCCCGAGGAGAGATATTCTTTGTCCTGGAGGCCCCCAATGCGAGATGTTCATCCTTCTATCCGTCAAAGGACAAATTGTACAAGAGATCGTTCAACTAATGCATGCTCATCGATTGCTCATTCCCTTTCCCCGGTTGAACCGGGAGGTACATCTTTTCCCTCCCCCACTCCCACTCCTTCTACTTTCTATATGTCAACAATTCATGCCAAGCTTGATTGTATTGCTAACATGTTGTACTCCATGCCTTCTGTGCAACCCCTTTCCCTTGGTTATGATTACTATACGTATCGATTATATGATTTGCATGTTTCTAGGGGTGAGATAGATCCTTACGTCAACTATCCGTACCTTCCGGTCCAACAAGGACCTGTCCCTCAATGGGAGCCTTTTGATCCTACTTGGGTTCTAGACTTTGTTATCCTTATTCGGAGGGCCCCCATATTCACCCTAGTTCTATCATAGGCACTACCCTGGGCACTTACGACTATAGGCGTCCCGGGGGTTGTGATTATGCGTATGATCCAGCTAATCCTTCGCCTTTTCCGGACCCCGAGACTTTTGGTAGGTGGGGTAGGTCGGGTGAGCCGATCTTAGATGATTGGTCTCATTATTTTGAGCTTGATAAAATTAGGAAGAAAAGTCAATTGAGGGGTAAGGCTCCCATGGAAGTGAGCGAGATGGCATTCTCTAGTCATTTAATGGAGATCGGTGAAGGGAGTTCTCATTCTCTTTTTCCTATTTGTCTTTAGGTTTATTGTTAGGGGGTGGCCCATTTTAAGATTGGGGGTATTATTTGTCGTTTGTTGTTGAGTTTCGTTGTTTTCCTCCTTGCTTTTATAGTTCATTAATGGACTCATCTGCTTCTGGTATTGATTTCTGAGTCCTTTGGTTTTATTATGATGCTATGCTTTGGATTTGCTGTTTGATTAGCTGATCGCTGTCTGATGCGTTTCTCTGTATCTCTGTTATATGATTCCTGATGATGATTATCTGCTATCTTGCTCTTTGCTATTGTTTCAGTCTGACATCTCATTAGATACTACTCCTATTGCTATTTTATTTTTCTTTATTTTCTTTATTTGATTTTCTTCCTTATATTTTGTTCGATTTTGTTTGGAAGTTACTAACAATTTTCTTTGTCTATAGTTCTTATATTCTCACTTTGCTCTATTGTCAATGCTTGGGATTTCAACGATGCGTAAGGTGCTCTTTCACCTCGTTTTTATAAGCATAGCTTTGGCACTCATTGAGATCTTTCTTTATCTCTTTTCTTTCTTTTTTGGTTTCTTAGTTTAGGGTTAGCTTTAGGATGAGTTGAATGGTTCGAGGATGTTTGCTTTGTAACACCTAGCGTGTTTGGGGTCATTGGCGTTGTTGCCGAATGAACACTTGTTTCATGATTGGGTATTACTTGTCTTTGCTGGCATTCTTGTACATTTCACTCTATCTTTTTATTTTTAGCTCTTTTTCTTTCTTTCTTTTACAAATAAAACATTTTTGAGGCATTTTTCTTCTTTTTGCTTGTTTAGTTCTTTTCTTTGGACATTCTACATTTCGGAATTTTGTATTTGCATGTATGCTTTCCTATGTTTAATAGGTGTGCATGTTTTGAGAATCTTTGTTGTTGACGCTAGGATAGGGTATGCTAAGGTAGTGGTTCAGGCCTTTTGGGGCCTTGAAGCCGGATTCCGTTATGTTTGTGGTAAGACGGAGTTGCTTCCTTTGGTTGATTTGATGCCCTTAGTGAGTTTTTGCCACATCCATGTGAGTTTCAACATTTTTCAAGCCTTTAACATTTATATGCATGAGCGGCATGGATGCTTGACTATTGCGGACCTAATCTAGAATCTTGACTCATAATTCTCAAAGTTGAGACCGAACTAACTAGGGAGGACAAAGGCATCTTTTCGGGGTGGTAATTTTTCTTTTCTAGGTTAATTTTCTTTATTTTTATTTCATTTGGGTTTACATTTGCCTTCTATTTGAGCCTTTCCCCTTCTTTTCAAGACACATCTTTAGAACTTTGAGCCTTTTGTTTCTTTTTGTTCCAATTTTTGTTTT